ATTTATACAACATCAGTTTGTTTGTTTTGCTTTCATAACAAATAGTTTGAGCCATATACAAATACAGAAGTGACAAAAGGAAACATATTTACAATCCAAAGTCAGACTAACAGTTTTCAGTAGCACAGTCTTTTATTTACAGTCTGCTTCTCCTGGTGGTAAACCTCTATCACATGTTTGGATTAAAAATTAGGCCTATATAGCTGCTGGTTCCAGCTTAAGCAATATGTTAAAAATACTAAATTCTTCATTGATTTGAGCTGTGGGGTTTGCTATACACTGGCAGAAAATTGTAGAGTAAATGGTGAAAACAAACAAACCAAATAACAAGATCCTTGAATTCCATCTTTTTTATTAACAGAAACTCCAACAAATTTGTGCCCAATTGATGATGTTTGGGACATGAAAAGTCCAGTCCAGCAGGTGGCGGTAATGCGCCTTAAAGCTTTAACCGCCAAAAAATACAAGAGCAGAAGAAGAAGAAGCCGAGTTCCCGCTTTATGGCGTTTTTCTCTCCGATTATTGTCAAGACTGATTTAAAGGTAAGCACCGAGCTAATATTAATCCGAGTCTAGTTAATCTTGAGTTTAGCTCCTGAATGAGGCTTTCTGTTGCTCTCCTCGGTGTCTCTTCTCAAGTTTTTGTGAACCAGTTGGAAAAAAAAATCTGACTAAATTGACTCAAGCTGCTTTAAACTAATTTACAGAAAGATATCAGCAAAAGGTTGTGAAACACAGAGAAGAAAATAATTTTATTAGAAGAAAGCTTTTAAATGAGCTCATTGTAATCAGAGTTTCTGTTGTTTTATTAGCCTGTTATTAAGGCTACTTAGCATCTCTGTGGCACCTGCACAGCTTATGAATGCAGCTTGCTAACTAAGCTAGCTAGCGCCACCCTTCTTCCATATAAGGTCACTTCCGGCTCCAAAAGACCCAACATGTTGGCGGTAAAAGTGCTATAATGAAATACATTTATGAGAAATGTAAAAATAAATGTGTTCCAGGCTAAAACACAGCTGCCTTTATCAGCGCAAAGTTGTGATGAGGCTCAGATTTCTACACCCACTCGGATATACAGATGAAATCAAGACAAGTACATCAATACAAAAATTCACAGGATTGTTCAAAAAATAATAAATTGCATGAATATAGGAAATCTTCCTCTCAGTGACTGAGTTGTCTCATTGTGTCCTCATTTTTTATAAATCAAGGCCTGAGTAACCCAACCTTAAGTGTTCATTAAGGTTTTTGTCACATAGATAGAAAATAAACTCAGAGATTAAGCGGCTGTTATAAACAGAGTGATTAGTTTATGTAAAAAATGTAGTTTGTTGTTGTTCTGGTTTACGTGCTGAAAATGGTTTTATTTGTGTATGTTCAATGTGTTAGACTTGTACATAGTTAAATATATGATCAAATAATGTTGAATCCTGGATATGGATTTGTAAGCAATGAAATTTGAAATAAGGGGGTAGGAACAAGAAAACTTCATCCTACTCCTTTTCGAGCACACACATTCTGTAGACATAGATATTTACATGAAAACTTGATGATTTTTAAGTTTTGTTATTTTTATTTTTTTCTGTTGTTATTTCAATTATATTTGCATGTTTGAAATAAATTTTATCTATCTATCTATCTATCTATCTATCTATCTATCATTTCTCACGGCACACGTATATTGTTGGGTTTTTTCTTGGCCAGGGCATATTTTAAAGAGGAATTGCTCTCCTGGTACTGGTGTGTCATACTGCTGAATTTGGTATCGGTGCTCAAACCTTTTGTGTTTGTTTCAAACAAGTTGTCCACCCAGGGAAGCTAAAATGTGTTCTGTGTGTTCTCAGATGAACATATGAGACACTTTGACTCTTCAGTGCAGTGTGGAGCTTAACAAAGTTCTGTTTTGTGTCCCAGCTGATCAGGAGGAGGAGAAGAGTCTGACGGAGCAGCAGAGGAAATTTCAGCTACTTGGACTCAGCTCAGCCACTGCAGAGAAAACAATGAGCTCAACACAGAAGGTGACAGATACTAGTGTTAAGAAATACTCCATTAAAAGCTGAAGTACTGATATGTATATTTTATGCTAAACTAAGTGAACCTTGTGCAATATTAATGTAATGTAGAAATAATGTATACAATGTATACAATGCCTACATCTTAGACGGTGACGTTGCCTCTAAACATCAAAATGAGCAGGAAGATGTTAAAGTGGGATTCAGCAGGATTCAACCCTAAAATCAGCTGTAGTGGCTCAGTGTGGGGAAAAGGGTCACAGCTCACAATCATTTCTATTGAGAGCTCCAGTAGATTTTTTTAATGTACAGGCTGTGATCAGCTGACCTGCTGCTCTCTGTGAATTCAACCAGATGTCAGCAGATGTTTCACGAGTTGTCCTGGCTGATTTCCTTTCTCTACACTGACAGTACACTGTCTTTATATTAGACACTATACTGTTGGTATGTGGGTGGAGCTCAGTGAATGAATGTCAGCATCATGAGCTTAAGTTTAAGTTAATCTCTGCTACACTTGATGTAATCTAACTCTGACATGAGCACCACAGTCACTGTGCACCAGTCACACACTGTTCTTTACTTAAATCCATCACATTACAGTAAACTTGCCTGCTTATCCTGCACTAACCTGCAGAGGATTTTACTGCAGTCTTTACATCACATTGTGAGACAAACTGCACACAAACAGTTTGTGTGTTTGCTGATGTTTGTTGGGCTGATAGAATCGCTGCATTTGAAATTACCTGCCACATAAACAATATTACTCCATTTATTCTCGCTCGTCTTCTGTATTGCTAACTAGATGTTGAAATACCGCGACCGCAACTTATCAGCACCTGCAGTCGTTCAGGTTCTGGTGGTGTTTGGTGCCACACTCCACCTTCAGGTTTAAAACTAGTGTTAATGGAGGGAGTTTGAAGCTTCAGTTTGTTTAATGACTGCATTTCACTCACTGCCTCTGTTTGTATCTCTGTCACTGCAGGACCAACGTGGACCGAGAAGTCAGCGCTCTCAGGAGGCCGACAAACCTCACAGAAGAAAGAGAGAGAAAAAATACACCTGTGACGAGTGTGGGAAGGATTTTACCTGGAAGTTTAAACTAAAACAACATCAGCTCATCCACACTGGAGAGAGACCGTTCAGCTGTGACTTGTGTGGAAAGTCGTTTTCCTGGAAGAATGCCCTAAAAACACACCAAGTCGTCCACAGTGGAGTTAAAGCTTACAGCTGTGATCAGTGTGGCAGAGCTTTTACTCGAAGTAGCAACTTACAGAGTCATCTAGTTACCCACTCTGGAGTTAAGGCATACAGCTGTGACATCTGTGGAAAAACTTTCAGCCAGCTAGGGTACCGAAATATACACCTACGCATTCACTCCGGAGAAGATGTGTACTGGTGTGATCAGTGTGGCAAATACTTTACAACAGACACAGAGTTACAACACCACATGTTTACCCACACTGAGGAGAGACCTTATCAATGTGACCTGTGTGAGAAGACTTTTAAAACTCCACAGTACCTGAGACAACACCAACAGATCCACACCAGAAAGAGACTCTACAAGTGCAGTTACTGTGAGGTTTGTATTTTTATTTTATTCTTGTAAGTTCAGTCTGACTGTTTGGAACAAGTCTGCTCATTAAATTGTGTTAGCATGTTAGCACTTCTACTGCACCGAAGAGTAGCTCTGAGCCATTATTCAGGTTTTCATTTCATTTAAGTGTAAGTCAGATGTTACTGTAATATTAAATAAGTATTGCTGTAGTATTATGGTGGTAGTATTGTAGTTATTGTAGCCCAGTAAACTGAGTGTGTTAATTGAAACAGTAAAATGTAATTGGACGTCTGCAGAGATGCTCTTTATTTCAGGCGACTTTCAGGATAAAAGTGTTGAAGGACTGACTTACACTGTCTTTGTGTCTTTGTTTAGAAGCAGAGCGACACAGATGGATCCACTTCTCAACCCTGTCATCGCTGTGGTGGTGGGAAAGACTTTCGTTGTGACATCTGTGGAAAAACTTTCAGTCAGCAAGCCGGCCTAAAAATACATCAACGTAAACACACTGGAGACAAACTGAAATACTGCAAAGAATGTGGGAGAAGCTTCCCCACATCAGCTGAGTTAAAACAACATGAACTCTTTCACAGTGGGGTCAAAAAGCACCTCTGTGATCAGTGTGGGTCATCCTTCACCACTGCAGGTCACCTTAAAAGACACAAACGAGTCCACACAGGAGCGAAACCATACAAGTGCAGACACTGTGACAAAAGCTTCTCACAGTCAGGTCATCGTAACGAGCATGAACGTACACACATGGAAGGAAACTACAGCTGTGAGCAGTGTGACAAGAGCTTCAGTAATCTCAGTTCATACTCTGCACACAAACGATCCCACGTTACTAATAAACTGTTTCACTGTTACCACTGTGCCAAAACATTCACTTCATCATCTGCTCTGTGCAAACATCAGCGCGATCACGCAGGGCTGAAACCGTTCCCATCACAGGACGACAGCGAATCTGAAGAGAGAGAAACATCCTCTGGTTTCAGAGTCCAACTTAAAACCCTGGAGATCAGGCTCCACAGAGTTCAGGTCGGCTCTCCTTAAGTTTAAGTTAAAGTTAAAGTTCAAATGAGGCTATGAATCAAACTTCCTGTAGTTCCATTTTAATCTTTATAAATTGTTCTTCTGTTTGTGTTCAGTCGTTACCTTTTTTTTTCAGTGGTTGGATTAAAAATCAGTTTTCTGTTGTTTAAGTTTTTATTGAATGTATTTTGTTAAATAAAGTTAAAATATTGTTAAATAAAGAATTGTTTGAACGACAAAGATTTTGAGCCATGATGTCATTTCCTGTATTTCAGAGTAAAGACTGAAGTGACAAATGGAAACATGTTTACAGTCATGGAATAAACACTGATGGGTCATCTGTAGGAAGTACTATTGCTGACAGACTCGACCTTGTTTACAAAGAAAGAAAGGAACTGATGACATGTGTCAGCAGAGGCTTTCAGGGTTGTTTAGAGTAGAGCTGATAGTCTTAAAGAGAACATGGCGATTATGACAATTTAACACAATGATCTGAGAAAAATATCTGTTTCTCTCATTTTTACTGTATTCTGATCAAATTTCCAACGTTCTTTTAACATTTCAAAAGAAATTGTCTTTCTTCCACTTTCACACTTGGCCCTAAAAACACCAACATCCGTGCATCACCCTTGTGTCAGTCTAATGAACCTAACATGTGAGTGATACATAACACACATTCACACTGGCTGCATATATCAGTCCGGGGGGGGCAGAGCAGAACTCTGTATGAATCAGACGCGCTCACATATTCAGGCTTTCCAGAGGCGTTTACCATCAGAAGAAGCAGAACAATGAATCATCAGCACCCTGCAGAAGAACACAGCAAGCAACAACTCTAACAATAAAGACGTGCTGGAGCCAAAAGATGCAGATAGCGAGTTTTAAACGATAACACACAGGATCAAAGGGGGAGAGGGTAAAAACCCACTGCCTCCTGAGATAAAGATCAGCAAGTCAAGCTGGCAGCAGACGACACAAAACGCTCTCTGGAGGAGGCGGCGACTGTGGAGCAGGCCGACGAAGAGGCGGATCGGCAGACAGGAAGCTCCCGGGGTCCCACAACAAGATGTTGCGCGTCAGACTGGAGCAGGATATCCCCATGTTGGTGACACTGCCCATCGAGGTACAGCCCAACTTGGCAAACCAACCCTTCCCTTTCTTGGACACCACACTGGCTGATCTGGGCATCCAAGACTGAGTCTCACTCCGTGTGGGGACGTTTTTTTGTTTTTGTTTGTTTTTTAAGAAGCAATCATGTGTATATATTCAGCTCAGAGCTGAAGGAGAGGGTGGTTTGGGTTGACACCAAGAAGACCCATCCTAGAGGTACGGCGGTGGGATCCAACTGCAGGGATGTGGTCAGATGGCAGTCTGTGGAAATCAGGTGACAGTGAGAGCAACTTGATTTTCCTATTTTGTCCTTCAGATACGAGTGAAAGCCCAGATGCCAGGAGACAAGCAGCTCCAGGAGGTCCTGTACAGCACCGAGGTCCACACTGACCGCTCCTTCTGCTGCACTGGAATGGATATCCTGCCCTGGAAACAGACGTGTGCAGGTCTAGAAGCAGTTTAAATCCCATACTTTTTTGATCTGTGAGGCTCTTAATGTCACGTCTGTAGCCATGAAAGTCAGCTCAGGGTTTCTTGATTCTGATTTTTCTTTGCTGTGTCACATTTAGCTCATATCTGCATTGCCATGCCCTGAAAACAAGCTGCCGAGCTTTAGTCAGGCTCAGGGACAACGGGAGATCTGAGGAGCAACACGATGAGAACAACTAAAACTGAACAAACTTAACATCTGATTACCTTTTTTATTTGTAAGAAAAAGTTTAACGCGCCAACTGTCCACAGCAAAGCTTATTATGACAAGACTGCTTTTATTCAGTGATGTCAAAGTGTCATCACTTCATACCTCTGAACTGACATTAGATGTATTGCATACCTTGTTAGAATTACACTGTTGAAGCATTTGTAAAAAGCTTCTGTCCTTGTTAATTTATGTTTTAGGATAAGTTTTTGGGCTGTGTAAGGTCACAGGTTGCATTTCTGAGCAGAGTAGTAAAGGTAAAGTAAGTGTTTTCAAAACTAGCCACTCAGCATGTGTACAAACAGTGAGAAATCTCTGAAGAAAACCGTTTGAAGGAGCAAGAGCACACGTGTTTCTCCACAGGTTAAAGCCCGCTGACTCCCAAAGAGCAATGGGAATGAAAAACTCTCCTTAGCAGATTAAATCCATTACTTCACACTCTTGAGAACAAAGCACGAAGTGTGTCCAAACCGCGTAAAGAACAGCAGCAGCGATTTATAGTGAAGCAGGAAATCAAAATACAGAACACAGGATGGTGAACCCGAACTCCTAACATAAGAAAAAGTAAACACGGCATGCACGTTAACAAGGGTCTCTGCTGTGCAGGAAGTGAGGTCACAGCTGCTTGGACCTCAGCACTGTGGTTCTGGCCAAACTTTCTCATGAGTGCTACTGAAATGTTCTGGCTTTCTGTGGAGGAGAAACAAACTGAGAGTTAGAGGTCAACACTGGAGACAGATCACTACAAAAGAACCAAATACTGATGAGAGTGCTGTGCACGATGCTAAGAGACATTAGATATGAAGCTCTGAGTCATGAGGGTTCATTCAAAGGAATTTTAACATGCAATCTGATGAGTTATTCTGCATGTGGCCATAGAAATCTTCACCTTTATCAACATCCTTGTTGCCCACGACATGACTGGAAGCAGCAACTATGGGTTTCATTAAATTCACGACCTGAAAGAGATAAAATAAATAAATAAAAACATTTAAGAAAAAAGTGTAATTAAAAATATTTTTAAAATTTAGGGACAAAATGCACAATGTGAAGTAGTTCAAGACATCAGAGCATGTCAAAGTTTCTGCATGTGTTGGATTGTAAGAATAACTGATTTAACATTTAATAAAAGAAATGATTGGTTGGAAGTTTTTCCTTTCAAAGCATCTTTCTAAACATGTGAACAGCTGCTCTTTAATAATCAATATGAATCAAAGACTTCTGTCAACACAAAATAAATGTAAGGAAACACACTTTCCTGTGCAACATCCAGTTTCTATAACTGACGACAAGCTTGGACCACAGTGATCTAAACTCATCCTCTACATTGGAAATGTAAACAAATGTAAATGTGGTTTTTACTGTACCAGAGCAGGGCTGTGTGTGTAGAGCACAGCCAGGCAGCTGAACACTGTATGGTTCTCTTTTTGGTCCTCTTCGAGCGGGAGACGAGCCACCAAAGCTGGCAACACCGGTCAGTGAACACATTCAGTTTTCAGGCCCCTCTTCTGTGGAACCAGCTTCCAGTTTGGATTCGGGAGACAAGATTTCAAGATTAGGCTTAAAACTTTCCTCTTTGGTAAAGTATATATTTAGGGCTGGACCAGGTGACCCTGAATCCTCCATTAGTTATGCTGCAATAGATGTAGGCTGCCGGAGGATTTCCATGATTCTCACTCACTATGTGTTAATAGACCTCTTTGCACTGAATCATATCTGTTATTAACCTCTGTTTGTCACGTCCGCGGTGGCAGACGTGTGGAATTGGAGATAGGACCCAAAATGCGGCAGCTCTGGTGCAGATGAGTATTTATTTAACAAAAGAAAATACAAACAGCAATGGCGTGGGTGAAGGTGAAACAGGAAAACCTAAACTGGGTAAAACTAACAAAACAAACCAGAAACGAAGATGCAGGAGGTCCGGGGAAATACATACAGAGAGACGCAGGGAGAGCGAGGAGAAACAACACAGACGAACCAGCAACGACTAAGACAGAAGACAAGACTTAAAAACACTCAGAGAACACAGGGAGATCACACACAGGTGGGGGACACAGCTGGGAGTGATTAACGTGACGAGACTAGGGAGGCAACCTGAAAACACTCACATAAGATGCAGACCTTCAAAATAAAACAGGAAACACATACACGCAATGACACAACGCAACAACGTCACACAGACTGGGGAACACATAGGAACATGAAAACAAAACCCAGAATAATAATAACTACTAAAACATAAACACAGAGTCACAAACTCCGTCACTGTCTCTCTTCCACAGCAGGTCTTTATCCCATCTTCTTTCTCTCTCCCCAACCGGTCGCAGCAGCTGGCCGCCCCTCACTGAGCCTGGTTCTGCCGGAGACCTTGGGGGCCATTCAACTGGCCCACGACGACCAATCCACTTTCCAGGAAACTGCTCATCTAGGAATGCTCGGACCTGGCACCCATAATGTGGCGGTGCACCATCTTGCTGGAAAAACTCAGGGAACGTGCCAGCTTCAGTGCATAAAGAGGGAAACACATCATCATGTGGCAATTTCAAATATCCAGTGGCCTTGAGGTTTCCATTGATGAAGAATGGACCCACTATCGTTGTACCCCTTAAACCACACCAAACCATCACTTCTGTTGTTCCAACAGTCTTGGAGGGATCCATCCAATGTGGGTTAGTGTCAGACCAATAGCGGTGGTTTTGTTTGTTAACTTCACCATTCACATAAAAGTTTGCCTCATCACTGAACAAAATCTTCTGCATGAACTGAGGGTCCTGTTCCAATTTTTGTTTTGCCCATTCTGCAAATTCTGTGCGCCGATCTGGGTCATCCTCGTTGAGATGCTGCAGCAGCTGGAGTTTGTAAGGGTGCCATTTGTGAGTAGCTAATATCCGCCGAAGGGATGTTCGACTAATGCCACTCTCCAGTGACATGCGGTGAGTGCTATGCTGTGGGCTCTTGCTGAATGAAGCTGATGTTTCTTCATTAGTGACAGTTTTCTTGCGTCCACATTTTGGCAAACCCAACACTGAACCCGTTTCATGAAACTTAGCAAGCAGGTTGCTGACTGTAGCATGGGAGATGGGTGGTCTTGTAGGGTGTCTTGCATTGAAATCTGCTGCAATGACACAGTTGCTGCGTTCACCAGATATCAACATATTTCGATCCGTTCCTCACATGTTAACTTCTTTGACATGTCAATGGCTGTGAACAAAGAGAAACTTGTAAATAACTCATGAAAGAATAAAGTTACGTTGAAACCGAGCACACCATTGTTTTTCTTGTGACATTACTAATAAGTTTGATGTGTCACATGGCCCTCTTCCTGTCAGGATCCTGGGTCTCCTGACCCAGCATTTTTTGTTCTTTGTGACTCACATCTTTAGGTCAAATATTATTCACAAGCATATTAATGAAGTTTGTTTCACTTGTTGAATGAGCACATGTGATCCATGCTGTCTGAAATGTAGTGATTAGGATCCTTTATTGTATTATGGCCAATGGTAACTAGTCCAAACAAAAGGTTAAATAAACTTGGCCCCGCTAAGCTGCACCGATAGGAGACTCTCTCCTGCCAGCAAGCGGTTAATCACCCATCTCTAACCCTTGAAATAAACGAATTTTGCACAAGAGTCGGAGATTTAAGAAGAACAAAGTGCAAATTGACAAATGACTGGGGAAAAGTATAGACAACCATATTCTATCAGTAGTTGGGGTTAATATTGACATTTGTAGACTTAAGAAAATACTTATTAGTTTAATTTTAATATGGAACAGGGAAAAAGCAAGGAATGTAAAAATACCCACCAGCAGTAGGAGGGGTCACTGACCCTATAAAAAGATGGCTCAGATGCACCCCGGGTAGCTTTTTGGCCGCTGTTTGTGTTGGTTTTTGATCTGCATGCACTCACGGCCAACACCCTAGGGAGCTTTTTTTTGTTTTTCCTTTATTTTGCTGAACTTGACCTTTCAGCAAAACAACTGGCATAGAACGCTGCTCTTGTCATGTGATCTTTGAGTTTTTGATTTTAACTGGCACTGGACGTAGAAATCAGCTCCTTCTAACCTGAGCGAAGCTTGAACCATTTTTAAGATTTGTGACTCAACTTTACCCAGATACAAAAATGACTGACACTGAACTTTTTAAGAGATGATCTTTTTAATGGAGATTTCCCATTTGGGTCCTCAATAGCCTGGCCTTGAGCTTCCTATGCAGGTGTAGATGGAGAAGGAAGAAGCTCAGGAGGCAGCAGACCGGCGTGGCTTGCTGGCTTGTATGAAGCTGATGATCAGCAGTCGCCTCAGTTTTGTGCTGATACAGCTGTTAATAACCGTTCCACAGGTTCACCTGCAGAAAGAACTTGCCACCAACTTCCTCCAGATAGATCTTATTGATCTAAACATCTGGGCTGCATTTGATTTGTAGCAAAGGACAAAAGAAAAGCAAAAGTGAACAAAATAGATTTATTCAGATGATCATTTTTATCTCATGATTAATTCTTTAATTAATTGATTAATTGAAACTTTCTTAATTTAATGAAGAATTACATTTTCGACAATGCAATATCATTCACACTTGTTGGATTCAGCTTCATAGACGACGCTAACGTGTGTATTTGACAAGAAAAAATGATTCTCCTTTTTCGTTTTGTATATGTATTTGTATATCTAAAGAATAATTTAATAAGAAGAAAGAAAATAAACTGTTCTGTTGCATCAGTAGTCAAACCAAAAACAGGATTTTCTCTAAATTCCAGAATCGACCTTATTGGTTTGGTTTTTATTTAGTTGCTATTTTACAGGAGTTGTCTCTCCTGATCTAAGAGTCCAGAAGTTTAGTTTCCAGGACTTTTACTGTGAAAGGGAAGGGAAGGAAGAAACGTGGGTTTGGGGTGGGGGGGGATGTTGCACATGCAAAACAAATCTGAGTTTTTGGTATGACTCGGGCAGTGATGGAGACCAAACCTGAGCTAAACAGGAAGTAAACATTCCACTTCAAACACTTCAGAGCAACAGTGATGACAGTGATGCTCTGCGATTGCTTTAAATGTTTTCTGTTTGCTTTAGTTTTTTTTTTTTTTAAAACATTAAATTAGCTGTCACGTGCATGCACTGTGTCAGAAGTGCATCTGTAGTTTCTCCTGCAAATATCTTCTGTATTTCTGTGTGAATATGTGAACGCATACCAATGCTAGTTGGATATAAATATGTTTGAGCAGACATTCTGTGCTGACCTGCTTTCCTTTGAGATATGAAAAAACAATCCACATAACAAAAGTCTCAAATTTGAGGTTAAATATGGAGGATTGGGGGCACACATTTCACCTCTGTGGTAATTTTAGTAATTAAAGTATTTGGCAGATTAGAAGGCATGCATGGACATATTCTGCTCTCAATCAAAAACTCTCAGTTAGAAGTACTTTATTATAATCATCCATCCATCCATTTGCTTCCGCTTATCCTTTTCAGGGTCGTGCTGGAGCCTATCCCAGCTGTCATAGGGCAAGAGGTGGGGTACACCCTGCACAGGTCGCCAGTCTGTCGCAGGGCTAACACACATACATATTCATACACTTAACTGTAATTGGACACTGACACATTTTATACAGCCCCATAGTGTCCAAGATGCAATAAGAAACTACAACAGAAATGTTAAACTGGGAAACACTGGGAACAGAGAACATGCAACCTGAGAGACATGAGGCTAGATGAGCAGACACTCTGACAAAGAACAAGGGGGGACTTTGAAAATAATAATACAGGAAACCTGACAAACACAGAAAAATATCAATAAAAAAAAAAAAAAAGAATAATTTACAAGATACAAGATGCAAAAAACACAAAAACATGATCAAGCTAAAGCTCTAAGAAGGCAGTGAGTCCTGTCAGTTCAAACAACTGGATAAAATACAATATTAGAAAATGTTAATAGGGTACTGTAGGGCTCTTGTGAAACACTTCTAAACAAGCATGTTTACTCTTTTTATTGAAAGCTGTAGCAGGCTGTATGTGTAAAATAGCTGCCACTTTATGTGCTCCGTGGTTTGAGTCATAATCCAATTGAACTACTTTTTCTTTAGATGATATTTGTTGTAAGGGTTGATTAATGAAGTATCATTGTGTGTTTGATGTGTATAGCAACTGTAGGACTTTATAAAAGAGCAGCGACACAACAACTGACAGTTGTTTTCTTCAATAACTGAAGGATTTTATTGCAAATTGTATCAGAAATATTAAATACATTCAACCCACAAGCTCAAAACAGAGACAAACATGAACCTTTCTGTGGATTGGTACAGATGAATCGAATTTTGGGATGCTTTCATCTCTAACAATTCATCATATTGTACTAGTTTATCACAGGAGCGCCTGTAAAACTTGAATCTGCAAGTATTGAATCTACACCGTATCCCACTGCAGCACAGTTCAGAGGTCAGTACTTTAATGCTGTAACTGGCTGAGCTGAAGCTGAACTAAAAGTAAAGAACAACTGAAATCCGTTCACTATATTATGCAGAAGTGGGTAACTGCATGTGTAACAGTGCATTATGTTTTAAACTCTGATTGTGTCACATTCGAACAATTACAATATAAATGCAGTGAAGTCTTGAGCTAACAGAATTCATAGTTTGGGGTATTAATTACTGTTGATTTTTCATAGTTTTCAGTTTTGTTTCAATTAGTTTGCAAATGCAGCACTTTAAATGTCCTTTTTAAACTTCTTTGTAAAATAAATGTCATATTTTCAAGTGTGACTTACCAGTTTTTTCACTGATAAGTCACTTTGTTCCCTCATAGTACTCGTCCTTTGTATAGTTCTGTATTATATAAGATGTCAGTCCCAGTCTAAGAGGATCAAACCCTCCTTTTGTGCCACAGGATCCCAGACAGAATCGGTTCGAAATTCTTCTGGATGAGTTCAGACAAAAACATCACGAAAATGGACAACAGGGAAGATCTGGAACATGATGTTCCTTGCAGGCTTGACGATGTGATGTTTGGGCAAACACCCAACCCTCCACCTCCTCCTCCTTTGCCCACTGGAACACCTTTCCCCCCTCAGCCAGCAGCAGAGACTGGGTG